GGGGTGAACCCCCCCCCCCCCCCCTGGGGGGGGGGAACCTACTTGCAAGTGAAAACTAGCACAAACTGTTCTGTATACAAAAACAAAACGATTGTTTGGTCTATGATAATATACTTGTATTCTCGTGGAGCGACTGAGTACAATCATGAAATACCTATGCCACAATTCAACCTTCGTTTCTGGCAATTGGAAACAGACGACGACTGCGACAGTCACGTGGAGCTAAAGGCCTTCAAGGTAATTTCCGTTTTAATTAAAGGCAATATTCATTGTTTCTTCCGTCAAATCGCAATGGTCGAGGCCCAATTTTGTTGCACCATAAAATGAAGACGTATATGTACAAGGTGAAAAGGCTTCTTTCTAGTCCGTTCGATTCATGCAGTCGATATCTGAAGTAAACAACGAAACACGAGGAGAGAAGAAAAAAACACAGGTTATGGTTACTGAAATGTGTCATACAGACAAATGTCCATTCCACCCAATCGGGTTGCCAGCGACAGTGATCTGGTATATGGCAAGATACATTTCAATGACAAAGCTTTAAACTGATGAAAAACAAACACATTATAAATGTTGTTCTGACAATGGTGTTTTAAATTAAACCGTGTCACTTTGTGCGATTTAATTATTAATGTATCTGACAGTAACAGACACGCAAAAAACAATGAAGAATGTAATTACTGTGACGAACGTAACATGTAATATTACTATGATGTAATTGGTAAGCGATTGATACTAACACAGCACAATAGTATATGTTTTAACAGCACACGTTGTTTGACATTTAACTTCAATAAACAGAACGTTTGTCTATACCCTGGCGTTGAAAGCTTCTCAACACATGCCCACGCCAAATCCTGCATCCTAAACTGGATGTGACGTAATGACGAATAATCTTATTCTAAAAATCCCGCTCTCAGGAGTATCTTGTGCATGATAGTTGACGAATTGCGAAATAAATCTGAGCTCAGTTCATGTCAGCACCCCATACTTTTTTTTTCACACAAGTAGCCAGATTAAGTAAGACGCAGATTGAGGTCACACTGTGGGCCGTTTGTTCACAAGGCTGCCATAATACCCTTAAAGCTATCACAAGCATACAGGAAAATAGACTAAATACCAAAAGAATGTGTACTCACATGTGTACTCCACACGACGAGATGTCAAGTAGCTCCTGCACACACACGCATACACACGATACACACTGTAAATAACGAGAGCTCGCGTTCAGCAGCAGCGCCAATGCACACAGATCACGCCACCAACACAACCACCTCACTTCACCAGCGGCTATACACTGCCGCGATGCGATGCGCCATTGTCTGACCAGCAGTGTTGCCACGACAACCTCACGCGCATGGGGAGTGAGTGGGCGGTTGATCTTTGCTGCTTGCTCAATCCCTTTGCTTATTTGAAAGAAACCTATAGCCAAGAATTCCTAAACCGACTGTTCATTTATTAAGTGCAAACACAAATGATCTCTGACGACAAATTGGGAAGAAAGAATCACTGGCCATACCACTTATCTGTGATGATAAACCCCTGTTGCTTGTTATATTACCCGCTTTACACAGCTGCTTTGCTTGTACTTCGGTAGGAACTATGAGGTTAATGTGTGCCATAAACTCTACTTTGCACGAACGAGATCGAATCCCCCAAGATGTATCGTTCTGAAATGATGGCCTTCGTGCGGTGGGGCACAAAATCAATAGTCACAGGAAAACATACGGGCAACGAAAACAGTTGAAGGTGAACGCCGAAGTTAGAAGACCAATTCCTTACCTACGAAAAGTTGGTAAACTTTTATCAGAAACTCCCCCCCCCCCCCCCCCCC